CCAGCACCATCAGGTGCGCCCCAAAAGAAAACAGAAACATTACACTTCACAATCAGCACCCATGTCTTATCTTCATACAGACAGCTCTGGCAAAAGCAGCCCCATGCACTTGCTTCATCCGTAATCTTCTGGAATTTGCATTCTGGTTGTGGGGACACTATGGAGAGAAAATCACTGCAAACAGCTGCATTTGCTTTTAGATCTCTTGCTGGTTTTACAGCACTTGCATTTTTCGTGAAAACAGAGAAAACGACGCGGTCCCTTTCTCCTTAAAAAGGTTGTTGCTATTCCCTCCTTGGTTCTGTGTTCTCAAGGCCACAGCATCAAAAAGAGGAACAAGTATTTTCTCCACGTCAGTGAGGAATCTGCTCACTTCCAGCTTGTACAAATGCTAAAGAATGCAGAAAGTCTTCCATGAAATGTGGTAGACAAAATACTTATCTGTAGAGCGGTGGCCCAACCAACACGATATAGGCTCTCGCCGTTCCTCAGAGGAAGAGGGAGCAGGCTTTCGGTTAGTGGATTCCATCCCAGCAGCTGAATTCTTCCTGGTCAAAGCTGAGTTGGGGGCTGGAGCTGCTCCATCACAAGATCCACATGAGAAACCCGGGCGAGGCTAGAATCACGCCTTGCTTTGCACGCGCAGCTTTGCACGCGCAGCTTTGCACAGAGCTGACGCTGCAAACCCAGTAAGGAAAAAATCCAAAGAGGCACAAGGCAGCCCCCACCCCTGCTCGGCCGGGGCAGCCCAGTCACAGACCTGCTCAGAGGTGGGAAACACAGGAGCAACTCCCAGTTCTTCAAAACACCTCTCGGGCAAGTCACCTCGCCTAATTGTACCCTCCTCCAAATTGAGGCTTGCAGGTAGGGAGGGCAGAGACACGCCGTGATGCGCGAGCCACACCAACCGGTCGGGCACCTGCGGGCACGGTGGTGACGCTGCAGAGGCTTCCCAGGCTCCGGGTGGACTGGAAGGCAACGGCTGAGAAAGAGCACAGTGCTGCTGTTCCCCCTGCCCGCAGAGACCCAGCAGTGCAGCCAGTTTATTCTCGCCGTGCCCAGGTGACCAGATCTGTGAAGAACTTGCTCAAAGCTTTTTAGGGCTCAGCACAGTTTTAATACACCCCTCTTTTTTCCCCTGACCACTCCCCCATGCCCTCACCCCTTTGGAAACATCCAAATTAGGCCAGTGTTAATAGCTGAGGTCTTTATTTAAAGTTTTTTATATACAGTAAAAGTGTCACAGATAAATCTGCGACAATCAGACAAGACAAATGTAAATCTCTCTCAACAATTAGCAGCTTAAGATCTATAAACTACAGTGTTACGTTCACAAGTGTCATTTCTGTACTTTTCAACCCGTGCAAGTGAGTTTTTCTGTTTATTTTTTTACACTTTTAAAACACACTTACAGCTAAGTCAATTGCCTACTACTATACCACCTGGCATACACAACACAGACACACAGGGTTTGTAACTCTTTAGCCACATTCAGAATTCACTTTAAAACTGGCAAAACTACCCAATCTTGAACCCCTTTGTAGCCTGGCTTCTTTTGTTATAATGCTGCTTTTTTAATTAAAAAAAAAAAGTATATTTTCAAAGCTGAAAGACAGTGCTTTTCTGTCCCAGTGTGACAGGTACAGAACTCATTTAATCTGATCAGACCCTAAAAACTCATGGGATTGGAATAAACCAATGAAATAATTGCTGTGAGCATGCTGAGTATCATTAAACTGAACTAATGAGGCTGAGAGAAAAGAGAACTTTATGAAATTTAACATGATAATTTTTTTTTTGGCATCAAGATTTTCTTTCTTCTTTACACTGAGAAAGCAAATGGGGGAAACAGATGAACTTCACTTGAACCATAGAATTTCAATGAAGAGCTGCTGCTTTTTGGATTAACACAAGCCATTATATTCTTCCCTTCTTATATGCCAAGTTGATATGTGCTAAACATATCTAAGCAATTTCAGAGTCGTTTCAACTCTGAATATGAAATGTTTCGGGAAACATTCTGCAACTCAGAGATGGTCACTAAAAAGTTTACATCCATAAGGAAGGCTAATAAAAGGTACTCACATGCACACTCACATCCACGGCGGAAACTGTCTTCTACACGTCATCCAGAAACGCTTCATCAAGAAAGCCAACACAACCACTTACAAGGAAAGGGGGCTTTAAAGCTAGAATCACATTTCCAACAATATAATCATTGTTAAGCTATCAGAAATCATCACAGACCTTCAACTTGAAGAGGGAGGAAAACCCCAAAACGTTCTGCTAATGCAAAAGGCAAAACACGTGGCAGTTGTGTTAGGATATGAAAAGTGGATGCAGCATCACATATGGCATTACTGCAGACAACTTTCCGGAATGGAAGAAACTGTCGAGAGAGAAAGAGACAGACAGACAGACATTGTCCAGAACCGTATGTACATGGCCTTCACCAAACAGTTTTGAGGTGATAAGTTTCTATGAAGCCTGTGCCTTCTGGCAAATTAGCAAAGGGTATTTACTAAAGACGACACTAACTGAGACACTAAATGAAATTTGGATATAAAGAAGAAGAGGGACAAACGCTTCTTTCAAATACTACGGACGAGTGGCACTGAGTGTCCAGATCCATTGGCTTTCAACTCTTTCCTGCTTTGGCCAAGTAAAAACGTACATGAGCAATTCTAGTGTGATCAAAACTAAGAAAAACAGAGGTGCAAAGGCCAGTTTTCAGAAATAAAGGCAAGACAGCTTTTCAATTAGGTGCCAAATCAGTTCCTACCGTTATTCACACCTTTGTTTCTGACAAAAGCTATGTAATGGGAAGACGATGGTTAGCCATGTAACTTGAAACAGCCAGAGAAGGGTGGTAAACAGAACGGAATTTCACTGGAGCTAGAAGCGTGGTCTAGGGAGGGAATGTTTATGCAACCTTTGCTCTGTCTGCAATCTGTGGAAAGCACGATTATTTTTGGCTCGAGTCAGTTGCAATTGGCAATTTGTGTTTTCAGTAGGACAGGAGCAGGTTGGTGACATGGTGATGAAGGGGGTGTGCTGGGATCCCTGGGGAGAGGGGTACCTGAGTTTCCTGTGACTGTGGAAAAACAATCTCTGAAGGAAGAAGGATGGTCGGACGGCAGAGGGCTTGCCTCCGCTCATAATCAGAAGACTCTCAAGGCTGTTAACATAGTTTGAGGAGTTTCTCAGAACCCAAAATTTGCATCATAGCATAAAGTCCTAGGCTTCCGAGTGTATGTATATGATATAAATGTTCCATGTATGTGTATGTATGATTTCAACTGGTTTAGGTCACTTGGGCACCGTTTGGTTCCTAGAGGGAACTTAAACCTGGAAGGAAGGCAAACTGTAAGATCTAACAAAACACCATAAATGGATCTGAAAGAGAATCCTGGAGTCTTTTTGGATTTCATGGAGAAGGAAGTTGATCCTGGCCTTGTTATAGTGAAAGGGACACTAGTTAAAAAAACAGCATAGAGCGAATGAATGCAGATTCCTTGGACACGAAGCCTGCCTGCCAGTACCAACAGGTCGCCAGCAACAGTGTGTTACCAGGACTCGAAGCTACATTCAAAGCTGGTACATCCTTTAGAGCTTCGGAAAGGTACCCACACCGAGTATTTGCCCCCACGGCTGGAGAGGATGCTCTCTATGGCACAGCACACAGACAGCGTACAGAGATCTCAACGCAGACACACAAATGATCTTACCAGAGCCTGACAGGAGGAAAACTTTGGTTTCAATTTTTAGGGGGTTATTTAAAATTAAATCAAAGATATTTCTGAGACAATCATTCTTTTAAGTGGACTGTTGATTCAGTATTTCTTTCCTTAAGAGAACCTGTCTCTTCCCTAGGAAGGGATGAAGAAAAATTCCTTATTCTTATCCTGAGGCCAAGAATGAGAGATGATGTGGAAATGAGAAATACAAACATGCTCTCCTTCACATCTAGAGAAAGAAAAAAAAGCCCTGCATGACAAAAATATGTGGAGAAGACAGATGTTCATGACGCTGCATCGGTATGCTCAGGAGGACAGATAAATGGCATGTGAATAGCGCTGTGTTCCAGACAGGCTGGCACTAGAAACTACTCTCTGCCCTCCTCAAAACTGTTTCAGGACAAGACAGCTCACAATTATTCACGCATTTCTTCATTTAAAAACATCACTTCTTTATTTTAAAGGAAAAAAAAAAGTAATGACCCTCCCAACCCCTTCCAAAAAAAAACCCCAATAATAATAATAATAATTATAATAAAAAATCCTATTAGAAACAATAAGGAAGCACTGAGAGTTTGAGTATTACACTCTTCAAGTATGCTGTTTGGATTTTTTTTAAATCTGTGAATATACATATATAAAAAAAACCTTAAAAGTGCGACCAAGGGCTTCTGCTTAAAGACAAGTATTTCAAGGACTACTTCAAAATACTGTAGCACGACTGTGCAGTTACTGTGTACAGCATGAGGCTTCCACTTCCTACGCTTAGCCAAGTCAGCCAGCCTTACAGAGAGTTACTCTAAGTCAGGTTAGCACAAGCGGTGAGCCCAGCCGCTGAGCTGGGGAAGAGATCCACACATTGTTGTTTTCTCTTGTTAAGGAAAGAAACCACTCTGAACGCATACATTTGGACATGGAATGTGAGCAGACTTCACAGTAAAAGTTTAGTGTTACAGGTTTGCTGTGGTACCATCATTCAAGGCTGTGCACTAGATTTAGCTTTGCTCATCTTAAGCGAACCACGTTCTCTTCCTCCTGACAGGTTTAGTACAGTAGTTCAAGCCACAATTTAAATTGCCCATTGGTATACTCCAAATTTCTGTATTTTATTTATTTCTTTTGTACACTTCAAAGAATCTTAAGATTTGCATCCAAAGAGAACCATGCTACATAAAAATTATCCAGGATTCTCGCCAAAAAGAGTTCTTGAATAAAATCTAAAAAATACTATTGCAATGCATCTCGCAGAGAAAAAACGTTATTCTAAATGTAAACAAATTCACTCGGACACTTTAAAACTTCAGCAGAGTAGTTCCTGACTAACCTTTGCCACGCGTGCTCGCTGCGAGCGCCAGGCGGCGGGCGACGCAGCCAGTTCCTGCGGCCATCATCTGCGGGGGGACAAGAACCGTTCCAAGTAGCCGGTGATGGCGTCCCAGTGCTTCCACAGAAAGGCAATGAAAACCACTATAAATAAAGTGCTGAACGTCCTATTGCGAGTCTTCATGAGGGGCACGACGCAGTTGGCCACAGTGGAGACGAAGACGAGGAGGACGGCCATGACAGCCAGCAGGATGTTGATGAACTTCCCCAGCAGGTTCCTGGCCGTGGCGTTCTCCAGCCCCTCCAGCTGCACCACCTGCTGCTGCTGCTGCTGCAGCTCCATCTTGGAGATGCGGGTCTGGCACGCTTCCAGTGCTTCCTGCAGGTGAGAGCACACTGCTGGGCCGCCAGCGCCCGCGTCACCCGGCGGGGACAGCCCACGGCTCCTGCCCCACCGCCGGGCCAGGGCCACCTCCTCACCCCTCACACGCCTCCTGCACCAGTCACTACGCTGGTTTCATGCCCCGCAGCAGGAGCAGAGGAAGCCAGGCCAGAGGGTGAGGAGCCCCTCGTTAACTGCCGTTTGTCACACGCCACATCGCCCTGTTCACACCAGAGAGGCTCGACAGAGACGACGGGCTGGGCAGAAGTCAGGCTGTGTTAAAACACACACTTCAGGTGCCACTTTGTGTGTCCCTGCATGTGGTGCCACGGTGGGACTTCACCACCCCTCCTGCCTGGCTGCTGGACGGGGGCAAGGGGGATGCTGACAGCCCTTGTCCAGAAAGGGGGGCACCCAGCGAGCCGCCCACTGCAGCTTTAGTTTCAGGAGACCACTGAGGGAACAGGTGCTGTGTCCAGCCAGCACTCCCCGTTCCCTTCCTTTTCTGGGATGTGTGTTCCCAGAGCCTCCCATTTCCATCACTGTCCTTGCACCGGTTGATGCCTGTCGGGCCCTCTCTGAGCCCACTCAACTCTCTGGTCAACCTGGCAGGAAACTAAGTCAACAAAAATAACTAACCAAAAAAGCCTGGTGGCATTCTGCTAAGCGAGCTGGATGAGCTCCGGGAGAGGCTGGAGGAGCACCGACACTGGGGCCGCACAGCTGGGGGCACGGGGGGAAGATCTCCTCTGGGCTGCAGCGCGCTGTGGCGCTGGCACAGCTCCAGGGGACACTGCGAGGGCTGGAGACATGGGATGTCTGGGAGAAGGGTAAGCAGCATGAGATTTCTGAAACTGCCTCTAGGAAGAGGCAAAGCAGAAGTACGTGGAAGGAGAAGACTAGCCCGTACCAAACATCACCCCTGAAGCACCATTGACTCGGGAGCAAACGTTTTCAGCCCTTCTCACCACGCTGAACCTGGAGTGGACCAACCCACAGTCCAACACTGGTAATACGCAGCAGGTGGGCTAGGGGTAAGGGGAAGGGTTTTCAAGGCAGTTAGTGCAAGGAGACAGCTCTGCTCTTGGATACAAAGGTACAATTTTGCCATTAATCCTCCCTCAGAGTTGCTTTTCTCAGACCCGAAGGCCAACTCTGGGGAAGGTCTGCAGCAGCAGCACTCCGACCGATCGCTGGACAGGAACGAGGACTCCCTGCCTACAGACTTATCTCTGCCACTGCTCCTCTGCAACATCAGCTCATGTTCTGAACTAGTTCTTCAAGCAAGAAAAGTCAACACTTACCTCTTCCCCAGCAATGCTGAGGAATAGTCAGTCCCAGTTGCCAAGTTTACACTAAAAGCACTGAATCGAAGTGAAGATTAAAAAACCTATTGAGAAACCCCCGCTCCAGTTTATGTTTTTAACCTTACTTCTGCCTGCCGTGCTAAATCAGAGGGGAGAACAAAACCTGAGTATTGTGACAACTGAGAATTGTTAAAACCAATCATCGAACCACAGAAGCATTTCAACAGCGAATGAGTTCCAGAAAGCGCAGGAAGGCAGGACCGAGCGTCCTTGTCTGTCACCCACCTGGATGTCCCGGGCTCGCTCGTAGGACTGATAGGCAATCTTCTCCTCCATGCTGGCCAGCTCCTGTTTCAAATTGAGGATCTCATTCTGGTGGAGCTCGGTCAGGTCATTTAGCTGCTCCTCAAGTCTTTCACATCTAGAAATTACACACACGGCACAGCAGCTCTAATGAGAAGAGGGCGGCAAAACCACACCAGTAACAATCGAGCAACGAACATCACAGACTTTTTACTGAAAACGGCCTCAGCCGTTGCAAAAGCTCGCGTTGCGACGGAAGGCCCTCTCCCTGGGAATCAAAGAATTTCTTACCAGGTAGAATTAAGGAATTTTCTACCAGATAGGGTTACGTTAATCTTGTTTCTATCCTGGGGAAAAACACACAGAGCAGTTAATGACAACTGTCAAGTGATGCGAGAAATGAAGGACAGAGTTGGAACAGAGTAAGGCATTCACCAAACTCCCGTTCAAACCAAACGGCCCCCTTCTAATACCATGAGCTCTTAAGCAGTTTCATCTGCACTCAGAACAATAACAGGCATGAAAGTGGCACCGAAATCTAACGTGACCGATGCCTCAGAGAACACGATAGTCCTGTCTGATCTTTACATGTGAGGTCAGATGGACATCTTTGACTTATTTTTTCTTATTCGCCCATGGATGACTCATCTTAACTAGCAAAGACCATCATATTATTTATAAGAAGGGCATACGAGCCATCAACCTGCAGGCTTATTTTTCGGTTTGCTACTGACGAACGGACTGGGAGCGGTCCTGAGGAAGGGCCCTGCCCGAAGAACTGAGCTACGACAATTTTGAGAGAGAGTTTTGTTTCTCATTGAGGGAGTTTTAAATTGACTTCGATGACAGCGCCATAATGTTATTTTAGCACTTTCAAAATACATTAGGGATACTTTGCATATGCATGTAGCACTTCATTCTTGGAATTTCAAGTCCAAATTTACAAGCAATTCATGCTTCAATACCCCTTCAAAATCAGGCAAGTATTTCTATTACTTCCAAAAGGTGAACATACATGGAGAGCTGGGCCACCACCCAAGGGTCAGGAGTGGTCAGTTGGGCACCACCCATACCATCTTCTTCCACCATGCTCCCCACTCGTGTCTCATTCTTGGTTCATTATGAGCAACAGCTCTGATGGCGACCACGGTATGGGTACAGCTACGGTGGCCGTCGGGGTTTTTCCACTCTGATTTCCACTGACTGTCTACTCACCGTAACAGCATGGGAAAAGCTTTCTGTACAGCTCTTATCATCTGACCCTTGATACTAATAACTGAGAAATTCAACGGAATTCAACACAAAGATAATAACTTGTTTTAATTTCAGTTCCCCTCTGACTCCACCTGAATTTAATTCATACAAACACACACATAAATGAATAAACAATATTCATCCAGAACAAAGAATTTAATTACAAGTTCTGAAACTAAGACAAAAATCCTGCTTCTGTCGTCCTGTCCCCCCATGTCCTCCCCCCCAATTTTTTTGGTGCTTCACAAGCTAAATATTCTGAATCTGTGAGCAAAAGCCAACCTTTAAAAATAGTCTTGGGGTTTTGTTTTTAACCCAACAGTCTGAAAAGAATTTTCATTTACACTCCCCCAATGCAATATTGCTTTTAACTTAGGAGTCAGACAGAATGACAACTTCTAGCCATGAAACACACGTGGTCAAGCAGTAGTAAGACTAAGACAACCACCAGCTGACACGGCTCAGCCCAGAAAGGTGCCACAACAGCTGTGCAACCCAGACAGGACACACAAGAGAACTGGTTTTCCAGGAATGACAAGCTGCAAACACGGCAATAGCCATGTGAAGACTGGCTAATGAAGAAGGAGCCCGGATAATTAATATTGCTGTTTGTTCCCACCCAACTTCAAAAAAACCCAACTTGCCAACAACCAAGAAATCACAACTAGACCCACTCTAAGTCCCAAAGGCAGCATCAATTGCTTGAAACATACTTGGCTTGTTAATATATTACGAAATTCTCCAGTGGGTTTATTACACAAAAAGGGACTTAAGCATTTCTGAAAATATCATGATTATTCTTTTAACCTCCTCCCACATAAACGCCCTTCATAAAACAGCTGTTGCCAGGCAGTTTAAATCCTGTTCTCTAACAAGAAACAATTATATTTTAGTACCTTCAAAATTACCTCCATCTACAGGAAACAAAGGGATGCCCTGCAAATGCGTACAGTGAAGAGTTTAAGCAGAACACGATTAGCGAAAGGGCTGGCTCCAGCCCTCCCTGCCCCGAGCACAGCACTACCGGCCCGTTCCCGAACCACGCTTCATTTCCCTGCTCGACTCCAGAACTTTTGCAGTTTGGATCCAAGAAGCAGCTGTGCTTTCAAAAACTGCCGTGTTAGACAGCTGCTGGAATTGGTTATTTAAAACAAACAAACAACCCACCACAACTTACCCAGAGTTATTTTTGAAATTACACTTCCTCCATTCATCTCCTTGTCCCGTTACCTACAATTTAGCAAATCATCTTTTTTTCCTCTGCTCTTGTTCAAATTTGAAAAGCTAAGGGGGTTCATGTGACTTACAGGGCCCAAAGCCAGAGTTTTCCTATTGAAGAATTGTTCACATTTAATTCAGAGGTATTGCAAAAATAAAAGAGAGAGGAGACTTGTGAAGAGGGTCAGGATTATACTCACACTTCCCTCTCTGATGTACGACCACCAGTATCTACGCAACAGACTCTAAACTTGTCTGTGACTATAGCAGCGCCCTGAATGATCAAATCCCACTTTATTTCGGCTACAGAAAACTTCTCGTTGGAGTCCAGTAACTATTTTTCCCACTAGCTAAAATGTGAAATTTCTCCTTAAAATTACTAGCCTCTGGATTAACAAGCTCCAGCACAGAAACTTTTCTAACAGACCTGTGCTGACAGTCACAATTATCTTAGAGATCACCAGAGATGTTCACGTGGAAGACACCCGGTAAACCACCGGGGCGCTGGGATGAAGTGTGGGATACGGGAACACGCCATTGAAAAAAGCCAGGTCAGATTCCCACACATTTTCTGAGGCACACTGCTTGGGAATCGGGGAACTGATGTGAAAAAAGGTGAAGAAACACAATTATGACCATCTCATTTTTTAAAGTGCTTTAAGGCATTTTAAAGTAATAGCTGCAAAATACATGGCTAATACAGCGTACGTTGGGGAGAGACATGACGATAAGGGCATTTTATCTGCATTCAGTAAGTGCTCTGGCGAGTAAAGAAACTCTGACCAAACTGACGCTAAAAGATCTTCACGGTATGCTGAACGGAGTTTAATACCTCTCTTTGAGCATCTCTCAAGATGGACCTTTTTTTTATAGCTATGTCATACAGAATTTCATCTGATCTTTATTTGTCATCCAGATACATTTTTTATGCTACCGAACACAGTGCTTTTAATAGTGGAGTAATAGCTAAAAGCAGCATCTATTTGCAATACACTCCAAGTCCTCCAGCTAGATAAGACCCGAGGAACAGAGCTCGCTCCCGAGAGAGCACGAGCGGCTCTCGCTGTCGGCATCACGCTGCGCTCCCCGCTCCGAACCTCCCGTGGTGGAAGACGACAGCTTTGCAGGGCCGTTTCAGCGTTTTCATGGCTTGGTGAGCGCCCGCCCGACCCAACGTGCTGCCTTCACCACCCGGCCACGCTCCAAAACAGCCTCTTCAACCCTTCGAAACCTCAATGGTTTAGCACGTTTGATCTATTTTAAAACAAATCATGAGAACACACTAAAGTCCAACAATTAGACTACAGCAAAAATCAGATCAATGCAAGCACCAGCGTCTGGCAGTTTGGCTGACGGGTTTCTCCTGACACGAGCATGGGAGACCTGAATGCCCTTTCCAAGGATGCCAGGCTCGAGAAGAAACCCAAACCTTCAGACTGGCCACACTCCAAATATATGAGCTCATGATTTCACCGCGTGCAAACAGGTTCCTAAAGGGACATGCGAGATGAAAA